ACATTAAAGCATGAATATGGGACTTCCAAGGTAGAAACAGACATAAGGCTAGTTCAACAAAAGAGAAATTATACGAGCACTGCCACGGAAGGCAGGAAAACACTTCATAAATGACAAGTAAGTAGTTCAGTCTGCGGCAGTGTGGTACAGTAGAAAGCATGGTATATTTGAAGTTACATGTCCTGCATTCAAATCCAGGCTCTGTGAGATGTTATCTGGGTGACCTTCAGTATATCACTCTGGGCCTTAATTTCTTCCTCTTTTCTAAGATAAGAGGTGTTTATACTATATCACTCCTAAGACTCCCTCCAGCTTTAAATCTCTGATCAAATGACTATTGTGTAGCAAACAAAGAAGGGAACCACACAGAGAAGACTGAAAAGTAAGGGAGATGACAGACTGAAAGGGTCTTGAATGCCAGGTGAGAAAGTCTGAACTTTATTTGATGGGTAACCGTCACATATTATAGGGCTTTGAACAAATGGGTGACATTATAGCTGTGCACAAAGAAATTTATATGACAGAGGCGTAAAGGATGAATCTGAGGAGGGCAGAAAATACTGCTTGGGAAATTAGTATATTATTGTAATAGTATAGTTAAGTCAATCACATTTCAGAGATCAAATCATAATTTGAACCCCTAATCAGATGAGGAAAAAGGAAGAGTCAAAGATACTATCAAAGTAGTAAGCATAAATGATTGGGTGATGGTATTAATAGAAATAGGTACATATCTTCCCTTCCAAATTTGTTATGTATTCTATAAAACTGGCCTTGCTGTTTCTTACATATAACATTATTTCTCTTGTCTCAATGACTTTGCAAAGACTATCCCACATACTTGGAATGTATTTACCCAAATTATATTTACTTCTTATAGATTTATTCAAAGTTCAACTCAAGTGCCACTTCCTACACAAGGCATTTACTATCAACTCTTCCTGCCAGTCATCAGCTGCAAACGTAATCCTGAAATTACTTTGTATACATTTTGTCTATACTGGTGTGTATATGTTGTTTCCCTCTATAAATGAAATCTCTAGCACTTTGTATCGATGCCTGGCATATATGCAAGGTTCTTAATAATGCTTTCTTGAGAGAAGTTCTTTTGGAGGCATTTGAGTCTGAGGTGCTTAAGGACATTCAGGTTTAGGTTTCTAGTAGCGAGTTTACATTTGTGTCTGGAGTTTGGAAAAGAGGTACAATTATGAAAATATGAAGTCATCTGGGTAGGTAAGGTAGTTGTAACCACAATATTAGATGATGTTACCATGTGAGACAGCATGAAATGAATAGGGAAGTGAAGAGAAGAGAATTAAGGACAAAATCTTGGGTTACATTCAACTCAATTCAATAAACATAAAAATATAAATTATAGCACCCCTTTACTGCACAGTTCTCTGTCACTACAAAAGAAAGCTGTTATAAATATTTTTGTGCAATTTGATTTTTTCTTTTTCTTTGATATCTTTGGGGTATAAGCCTAATAATGATATCGCTGTATCAAAGCGTATGTACAGTTTAGTAATTTTTGGCATGTGTTTTCAAATTTTTTTCTGAAATTTCTAGACCAAGTCATAGTTCACCAACAGTTCATTAATGTGTCTTTTTTCCTGCAACCCTTCCAACATCTGTTATTTTCCCGTTTTTGTTAAGTTTGCCAATCTCTTGAGAATAAGGTAGAACATCAGAGTTGCTTTAATTTTCATATCTCTAACTGTTGACCATTTGGGCACTTTTTTTTTTCATCAGGCTTTTGATAGCTTAGATTCCTTGCTTTTGCTTTTCAGCTTTCCAGGTAGTTCTAGACAAGTTAAAAATTATTTCCCAAGTAATTTACCTTCTCAGGTTTAATAAATACTGTTCTATTAAGATCAATTGTTTCTAATTCTTCTACATCAAGTCTGTACCACTTATCCACTATTCTATTTTTAAGTAGCCCAAATTGTTTTTGATAATTACTAAAAATTATATAAATTATAATATAATTTGTATATTATATAATATACATTATAGTATAATTTGAGGTCTGAAAGTGCTATGCTCCTTTCTTCTTAACAAATGAATGCAAACTATTACTATTGTGCCATAAGAACTATTGTGCCATAAGAAATAACGAAAGGAATACGGATGGTTTCAAAGAAACCCAGGAAGGCTTTTATGAACTACTACAGAATGAAGTGAATAGAACTGAAAGAACAATTTATAAGGTAACAACACTGTAAAGAAAAACAATTTGCAAAGGCTTACAAACTTTATTAAATGCAATACCAACCATGATGAAGAATGTTATACATTTGACAGAGAACTGATGAATGCAAAGAGTCAGAATAAGACATTTAGTTTTTGGATGTGATCAAGGAGGGAATTTGTTTTCCGTGACTGTATATTTGTTATGGGTTTCGTTTCTCTTTTCCTTTTTCAGCAATAGGGAAGGTGAAGACAGAAAATGAATGTTTATTAATTGATAAAAAAATAATTTTTAAAAAGAACTGAAAAACAATTGGTAGAAGTTAGGTTTAACCCACCAAGTCATTTAAACTCCATTTGCTTCAGTTTCTTCAACTGTAAAATGGAGATAACAATAGCGCCTACCTCACAGATTGTGGTGAGAATCAAATGAGATCATATCTGTAAAGCACTTAGCACAGTGCCTGGCACACAGCAGGAACTTAATAATTACTTGGTCCCCCCCATGTTATGCCACAAAAAAGAAACTCAAAATGGACATATGACATGATTTTTAAAGGTTATATAATATTCAAAAAATTAGAAGAGAAACAGATTTGATGCTACCTACGCCTCAGGGTCAAAGGAGAAGAATTCTTAATCAAAGGATAAAGTCTGCCACAAAAAATAAAACAGGTAATTTTGATTCCATAAAATTTAAAAGCTCTTGAATAGATCTAATCAATGCGTGTATGACAGGGGTGGGGAACCTGCAGCCTCAAGGCCATGTGTGGCCTTCTAGGTACTTGGGTGCAGCCTTTTGACCTAGTCCAAGTTTTACAGAAAAAATCCTTTTATTAAAGGGATTTGTCCTATGATGTTTGGATTCAGTCAAAGGGCTGCACTTGAGGAACTAGCGGGCCACAGGTGGCCTCAAGACCACAGGTTCCCTACCCCTGGACTTGGATATGAAGGGAAGCGGTCAACAGGAGAGAAAAATCTTCACACCAAATATGGGTCTGATAGTCAAGATACACAGAAAACTAACAGAAATAAATGAAAATTAGAGTAGAGTCATTCCCCCAGTGAACAAGTGCTCAACGGATATAAACAAATAGTTCTCAAAGAACTGCAAAATATATTAATAAATAAAATATTATTTCATATATAAGTTCAATAAATATAAAGTTCTCAATAGAAGAATTGCAAAGTATTATGTTAATAAATCTTATTTAATCTTTGCCTCATTTATGTTTTGTGTAGAATTTAAAATCGTATATAATATAGTAGCACATGTGCATAATTTGTAGGAATAGGGATAAGTACTAGATATGTGATTTTATTGGCATAGGTAATTAACTGGTAAGGAAAATTCTGTCACTGTAGGTCAGCACCTTCGTGATCACATCGACATTTTGTGTCTATCAGGACTTGAACACGTGTGTGCCTAGCTCAACAGCTGCAGGTCTTTTTCTACTATACCATGTTATTTCTCTTACACCAATATACATGCAATATACATGTTCAAAGAATTTTTACTGATAGGGAGTGATAAAAAAAATTTTGATCTCAATGATCTAGAGACAACAGTGTCAATAAAATAGGGGGTTAGCCTTGAAATCAGGAAGTCCTAGTTAAGTTTCATCTCTGACATTTCTTGTTTGTATAACTTTGGGCGAGTCAAGTACACAATGACAGCTCTCTAAAACTGTAAGTTGCCTTTGCAACAGTTGGTGGAGGCATTGGTAGAGGCTGTTGCCTCATTAGGAGCTCTCTATAACAATTAAATCACAGGCCTTGTGGATCTTACAGTCTAATAAGGGGAGAAGATTAAAAATAGAGATAATTATAATGTGCAACTCTAAATGATAATTGCATTGGAGAGGGATAGAAAAAAAAAGTCATGTGAAATCCAAGGGGGAAGGTTATTTGAACTGAACTTTAAAGGATAAACATAAAGGATCAGTAAGAATAAGTGCCAACAAAGGAGTCAAAGCAGGAGCACTCTGACAAGCAGGAGAAGAATCAGAAAAAAAGGTCATGTGAGAAAAGATTGCCAAGAAGGAGGAATGAGCAAGTGTTATATCCTGAAGAGAGTTGAAGAAGATGAAGACAGTTTAAAAAGAAAACCAACACTACTGGATTTTGTGATAAAGTCATTAGTGTACCTTGAGAGATGAGTTTTATAGATCAGTTGAGGTAGAAATTGAATTTCAAGGAGTTTAAGTAAGTGGATAGTAAGAAAATGGAGGACAGTTTAAACTATAAGATATTTGATAAGAAAAACTAGATGGTAGTTAGGTATATGAGTTAAGTAAAGAGTGAAAAGAAGAAAGATCTGAACATATTTGAAGTCATGTGGAGAGGAACTAGTGGAGATTGAAGATGTATACTAGACATGGGCTGACTGACGGAAACATGGTCTCAGAGGAAGCAGTAGTGCATAGGATTGAGGGCATAGATTGAATGGCTAGTCCTATCAAAATGGGAAATAAAGACAGAACATGTGAAGAAAGTGAAAAAATTTGACGTGTGGAAGCAAGAAGTTAAAAGAAGTCACAATGGATAGTCTGGATTGCCTCAGCTGAGTAGGTGGTGAGGCCATCTGCTGTGAAGAGAGAGTCAGAGAGGAGTTGGATGCTTTTGGAGAGGGGAAAAATTTGGAACAATCATTGTGGGAAAGGAGATAGAGAATCAATCAATCACTGAAGAAGAAAGAACTGACAAGCATACATGAGGGTTTAGTTGAAGCTATACAGAATATATTTATAGTTAGTAGACTCAGCTCGATTTTGAGACTTTCTCCAGCAACACTGAATAACCAAGAAGCAAAGTATGAGAAATCAAATGGGGTGTTTACCAAGGTTGAGTATTAGCAGAGCTGGAACAGGGAAAGCCTAAGCTTAGAGGGCGAGGGATTTTAGGTTAATGAATCACTGAAGTGGCTGACTCTGGATCAAGATTTGGTAAAGGCAAATGCCACCAAAAAGAGGTAAATGGAAGAACAGGGATAAGGAGAAGGGATGGGAGGAACAGAAGAGAATGAAGAACATGCATCCTCTGAGAGAGGGAATGGGAAATGTAGAACAATATTATGATTGACTATGCTAATTGTCCTATGCTAGTATATGTAAAATTGTTAACATGTAATATTTGATAGTATAGATTCTAAATACCCATTTTAGTAAAACAATTCATATGTTATATATAATAATTTTGTATATACATATATATGAATATAATTTAGTCAGACAATTCATGTATTACTGCTTTGAACCTGTAGAGTTCTGCTGTTATCTGAATTCTGGGGTTCTCTAGGCCGAACTGAGGTACGTATTTATAAAAATTCCACAAGTGTGTGTATTCACACACACATATATTTACACATTCATCAGTACATACACATATAATATAATGTTCTATTATATGCAGTGCTGAATATATTCATTGGTTCTTTAATAGGTTCCTGTATACAATTGTGACATTCACCAAAATCAATGGAATCATTTGAAATAAGTTTTTTCTAAAGTCTAGAATATGAGGATATATTTCCCCAAGGGTAGTTATAAAATTTTGCTAATAGTAAATTCTAAAATAACAGCTTTTATGACTCACTGAAAATGTTTGGAAAATATTTTTTGTGTTATTTGAATTTTCTGTATTTTTGTGCCCATTTGTAACTTCTCTTGGGTTAAGTATAACTCTATACATCTAAACAAATCCATGCACAGAAAAAGTTTCACAATTATAATATAATAATCTGAGAAATGAATTCATAAAAAGTATTCAATCAGTTTCACTGTCCCTCCTGACTACACCCTCATCCTTAGCAAAAAAAGTTTTTTGTACCTTTGCTACCTTATCAAAGAATTTTTGCAACATGCTGTCAGTTCTCAATATTTCTGATCTCTCATTCAATTACTGCTGATATTACCTTTCAGAAGATAAAGGAACAAGCTAATTCTAGATGTAATTCTTATAAAAGAGGATGATTAATTGGAGAAAACGATTACTGGAAACCTGGGAGGCACTGAAGATGCTATTCGAGAGTTTGTGACTTATAGGTAAGCAAACTACTGTAGTGGAAAGATTACTAAGTTTAAGAGCTGGGAGGCCTGTGTTTGAGTCCTGGCTTTGCTACTTGCTAACGGTGAGACCATGGGTAAGTCACGCAGCCTCAATGAACCTCAGTTTCCTCATTTGCAAAATGATGAAAATAAGAATTTTACATAATTTTACATAATGTGAACTATTATTATTCAAATCCTGGCTCTGTCACTAACTAGCTGTGGCCTTTGTTTCTTTAACTATAAAGCGGAGAAAACAGTTGTTATCAACCACCCCACAACACTTTTATAAGAACACACTGTATACCTTAAAGCACAATAAAAATAGTATTTCTTATTATGACTCTAATAGGGAGGCCAGTACTAGATATCATATATAGTCTATTCTTAAGGACAATGAGAATGACTCATAAAGCCTTCAGAGAAAGGACAGTAGGATTCTCAAGGGATATCAAATCTGAAAGGATCAGAGATTCTCAAGAACAAAATTGCTTTAGTTATCATTAATTCTCAGGAAGAAAGGATGGTGACAAAGAGATTAATGCAATTACAAAAAGAGGTCATAGAGCAATTCAAAAAATTTTAAAACTGTATCTAATATTTATTAATGCCTTTTATTTTTATATCACATTCATTTCTGAATAATTCAGTCCTCAGCCCTATCCCAATGAGCCAGTTTTGTAACATACTTAAAAAGAAAAAAAATAGCTCAGCAAAATTTACCAACACATCAAACTAATATGACACAAAAAGTGACATTCCACGTCCACAATCTTTCATATCCATAACACTTCTTAGGGCCACATTATTTCTCCTTGATATATCCTTTGTTCCAGACAAACTGAACTCTCTATCATCCATGATTAAATAGGCTTCCACTTCTCATCTCTGGCTTCTATTTTTTCAAGGCCCAATTGAGTTACCATCTCCATGAATTTTCCTGATTCCTTCAAATGAAAATTATTTATTCTTCTTTACATTTCTGAAAACACTTGGGCAAATCCTTTGTTTGTATTTATCACATTTTGCCTTGTCCCATAATTTTTTGTGTATATTTGTTATTTCTCACATGCCCATGATCTGGGCAAACAATTCCTTTGCAGAAAAGGTCAGTCATCCCTAGGGCAGGCAAGCCAGCCTCTTTGAAGCAGTGGTGCATTCCTGAAGGAGAGATGAGAGGCAGCAGATTGTGCCAGACAAGTCAAACTGCCATAACCACAAAGACCACTATCTCCTCTCCAACCCCGATGGATCCTGAAAGGAAGACCCTTGGGAATAGGAATGCTTCCATTCCAGTGCCCACAGACATCCTCCTGGAAGCAACCCTGCTGAGATGCAGCCTGGCAACTGCTTCTGTAGATGCTACAGCCACAGCTACCGAAAAGCCAGAAGAGAGAGTCCTTGTCACCACAGTCCTTGGTACTTTCTTGAAAACAGGTATAATCTTCCCAAGTCTTCTGTTCTTTGGGCTAAACATCTGTTAATTTAATTTTTCCTCATGGGCATGAGTTAGAGGTTCCTCACTATCCTGGCTGGTCTCTTTGTATGGTCTCTAACTGATCAATGTCTCTCCTAAAATGTGGGCCCCAGGACTGATATTTTAACTGGTTTTCTTCCCACTTGGGTGCTTTAAATATTAGAAAATTACAACAAAGTGAAAAGTGACTATACCTGGTGTTCTAATAAGCTTAATCACAGTAGACCTATTCATTCAAAATTGCAAAGGAAATGGTAGCATTATGAGTTTTAAGCCTAGCTATTAATTATGCAATCATAACTAGCAATATTAAATTCATTTATTCATTGAATCATCAACCATTTATTAAATACCAACTACAAAACACAAAAAATCCATGCTAGGCATAAGTGGTGGATTGGTAGATGATGCAAAGGCATCATTATTAAACAGTATGTATCCATTCCAAGGTTTTATATGATCCAACTTCTCTCAAAAGAGGTGGGTAGGTGGCTCAATGGATGGAGAACTGGGCATGGACTCAGAAGGATTTGAGTTCAAATCCAGCCTCAGACACTAGCTGTGAGACCTTGAGCAAGTCACTTAACATCTGTTTGTTTTAATTCACTACAAAAGTAAACAGCAAAACACTCTAGTATCTTTGCCAAGAAAACCCCACAGACAGCATGGGCACAGGGTCACAAAGAGTAGGATATGAATGAATGAACAACTGCTCTCAAAAGAACATATGGATTATGGGGGGAAATGCCTAAAACAGCTATATCTGTAATTTGTTCAGGAGAAAAAAAAGTTTAAGTAGTTCCTGTGAACAAAATCAGCCTACACCCAGGACAATAACACAGGGACTCATTAAGTATTATCCACAAAAATACAGTTTCTAGTTGTACAATATGACCACCTGGGGTAAAAAAAACAAAAAACAAAACTTCCAAGACAGTTTAAGAGGAGATTATTAATACTCCAAAATAAGAACTATCACAGTTCTAATTCTCTTAGTGCAAGATGGGTAGTCTTCTCATAAAAATTCATTATGGACACAGACATGCTTATCACACAAACATGTTCACGCCACACCATCTGGGGGTCTTCTACTGCCAGCACAGATTTTATGAGCTGGCAGAAGACTGAAATAGTCAAAAATCCTGCATGCAACTATTTCAAAGTGTTGGATTTTTGTTCATTTTAATTTACTACTAGATTATGAAGAAATGTGCTATGTATATTCAGATTTGTTGCCAGGTGTGTACCTGTGTTTACAACAAACTAAAATTTAGAGTTGTCTCACTGGTAGATTTGAGATACCCATCCTTTTATTCTCACCCAAAAGAAAAAAAATCTGAAATATATGTACCTCTTTAATATTCTTGCTACAAGCATATGGAAATACTTGATAATAATCATTCTATTAATGCAAAGCCAAGTGATAGCAACATGCTCATATGCTTCTCTACACTAAAATACTTGCTCCTAGTCCTCACAGCGTAAGACAGAAGAGAATGAGAAGTTCCTTGTTATACGACCTCTACCACTCCTACATAGGAAAATCTTCGACCAACTTCCTTCTTAGCAGCTAATGCAGTGCTTCTTTTTAACTGACTGGCAGAGAACTGTACTATGAGGGAGAAGTAGCAGGGAGATACAGAGATATATCTGAAAAACATATTTTTCTCCCCCCTCCCCAGCCCATCCTGTCTCTGTCTCCCTCTTCGACTATTCAGTGTTACCCCAATTGTACCAGGTCATTACGTTCCTAGTACTATTCCTGCTCTGATCACTACCTCCAGATGCTCTTGCTAAGCCTTTAAAGACAGCTTTTATAAAGTGCTTTAAGGTTTGAAAAGCATTTTAAAAATATCATTTCATTTGATCTTCATAACAATCCCAGGAGACAGATGCTATTATTTTTCTCATTTTACAGATGAAGAAACTGAAACAGGCCCCCTTCTCTTCTCAGACACTGCCATCACTCTACTGCAGGCCCTGGTCACCTCACACCTTGCAAGAGCCTGCTGGTGGGCTGCCTGCCTCGAGTCTCCCTGAAGTCCAACCCACTCTCCATTCAGCCACTAAAGCGATTTTCCTAAAACACAGGTCTGATCATGTCACCCCACTACTCAATAAACTCCAGTGGCTTCCTATTGTCTCTAGGAGCAAATACAAAATGCTCTGTTGGCATTCAAAGATCTTCATAACTTAGCTCCCTCCTACCCTTTTAATCATACATTTTACTCCCCAAAACATATTCTTCGATCCAGTGACACTGGCCTTCTGGTTGTTCCACAAACAAGACACTCCATTTCTTGGCTCCAGGCATTTTCTCTGGCTGGCTGTCCCTTATGCCTGGAACACTCTGCCTCCTCTACTCTGACTGCTGACCACCCTGGCCTCCTTTAAGTTTCAACTTAAATCCCACCTTTGTACAGGAAGTCTTTCCTAATTCTCCCTAATTCCATTGCTTTCCTTTTAAAATTTATTTTCTATTTATCCCTTATGTAGCTTGCTTTGTATATACTGTTTGCCTCTTGTCTCCCCATTACATTGTAAGCTCCTTGAGGGCAGGGACTGTCTTTTGCCTCTTTTTGTATCCCCAGTGCTTAGCAGATGTCTGGCACATAGCAGGCAATAATAAATGTTTACTGGCTGATTGGAAGATGCTAAGTGATTTGTCCCAAAAATATCCCACTTCTGAACACCTTTAATTACTAAGAAATTTTCCTTTACAGCTAATAAGTACATGAGGTAGGATTTGAACTCAGGTTTTCCTGACTCTAAGTCCTCTGTTTTAACCACTGTGCCACTTGGCTGCCCACTGTCCTATGGGGAACCTGGAGAAAAAATCATGATGACCTACAGTGGTAACGATAGATTTAGAAGAAAGAGACTTAAATTTCCCCATTTTACAGTTCCTACTATCTGCAAAATTACCTATTAAGGGTGGAAGTAAACTTATTTTTAAAAACCCTAAAACCACACTGATTCTCCAACCATACAACTAGATGTAAGTCTGATGAACACTAAAGACGGTCTATAGAAAATAAGGGTCAAGAGTGAAAGGATCTCCCTGCTGCTCCTCTTGCAGGGAGGGGCTATTTCCTTGGACAGAACCATATCATCCCCTTCAGAACCAGAAGGGGATACAAATATAGGCTATATAATCAGTAATCAGGTTTTAACAATTGTTAATGGTAGAAATTTGGGCTTAAGGAAAAAAAAGGTAGATTTACCCATCCCTTTTGTCATTCATTACCTCATAACAATTATGAATCAAAAATATTTTTGTTTGACTTGGAACCAGCTGATGGTGGATTAACAGATGGTTCTTTAAAATTCTGTTCTTATTCCAGAACCTTTAAGTTGTTGAAAATGTATCTACTTAAATATAATACTATAGTGGCAGCAAAATATGATCTACATGTTCTCTATTTAACACTAAACAATCTGGATACCAGAGCTGTTTGGAAATAATTTTATCAAAGACTGAAACATTACACTAGTGCTATAACAAACAAATTTGCCTTTTACATTTTTTACTTTCAAAATGTATCTTCATAGTTTTAACCTAAACAGATCTTTTTTTTTAAAAAAAAGTATAATCAATTAAAAGCAATTAATTCAATTAGTCCACAATAAATTTTATCAACTAACTTTATAATACCTAATAATTTGGTAGAATTAGTGATTAGAATAATTTATCATCTCATTATATCCAGGGCAGAGCCATTTGTCTTTTTGTAGAACAAAGAAAAATAAGTTTTTCACAATGCTTTTAACAAGGAATAGTTCACTGCAAAACCTAAAGGCAAAAGTTAAAGACTGAGAAAATATACAAATTTTTAGGTAGACTCTCATGATGATGAATGCCTCCTACCCTGGACATCTGTTCAGCAGGTGCCAAAGAAATCCTGAATGGGTTTTATGCTTGGGGATCTGCTTTAACTGCTACAAAAGACAATGAAGTGTTCCCTCTCATTTTTCATTCCTGAAAACTACTTTCCTCCAGGCAGAGGCTCATTCATTTCATACCCTAAGAAAAGGCAGAGTAAACCCTAGGTTTTCTTCTTAGTAAGTTTTGCTGACAACACAGATATAGGCCCACTTCTGTCCATTCGTAAAGGTAATCTTTTCCTAGACCTTAACATCTCCTATTGTTAGATACGTATGAACTTGTGTTACTCCATACTTCTATGAGTCCCACATTTTGGATAGTATATCTCCATTTTATATACTATGAAATGAAAAAAACCCTTGTTTTCTCTTATCATTGTCAGGGGTTGCCCAAAATAGGAATTTTACTTCTGCACTGGGTAGAGACCACTATAACTGTCATCTTCTTTGATGATTTTTCCTATTGTGATTAAACAATTTATGGCATTAAGACCAAAATGGACTCTGAACTATAATATTATGAGGAATAAAAGCTTATTTGTTGTTAATCCAAGTACTCTAATCTATACTTAATTACTCTGGTAAAAAGATCACAAGCAAACAGCATGATGAAAATCTTGTTTGATTCTAAATTTCAGAGGCAAATATCTATGTAGAAAAAATTAACCATTAGAAAGACACATTCTATTTTCAAACTAACTCAAAACATGGGACTCCTTTTTTTAAAAAGGAGTCACATTATTAAGAATAATGGTTTGGGTGTAAAATAAGATCATTGCTTGGAAGGAATGGAATAAAAGGAAAACCAATTTTTATTGGTGGCTTTCATCCCATTCTCCAACTTGGAGTAAGTGAAAGCTTCTCTGTCATAGCCCCTTACTTAGTTACTTTTTCCCTTTCATTT